TTGCTAAAGTCTAAGGACTAGAGACCAAATGTGGCTTTAGTTCACTGGTGAGTATCATCACAGGCAAGTTAGTGCAGTAGTACAGTATGTTGTTCACAGCTGTCATTTCATTTTACTTTCTCCTTGATCAATTCTTTTTTATACCACTCATGCCAATTTAAAATTCAGAGTTAAATTGAGTTTGCATGACTTATAAAATTTATTCTATTGCTACATTATTATATAGATTAATGTAAAAGTCAAATAAAGAAACCAAGTTGAGAAACAGTGAAATCCATTTGGTGTGTTTGTTAACCGAGGATCCGTAGGCTTTCTTAAGACTATTATTCATATCTGAAGACAGTGCTGAAGCACTCTTTATATTTCTGAATGATTCATATGAATAATAGAGTTGATAAGTGTTGATTCATTTTTAAATATAGAATGTTTAATATGGTTTCCATTCATTGACATTTTTGTGTGATATAATTACACTTGTTGATTTGAATTTGCTACTTATGTGAATAGAAACAAAGTTTCATTTATAAGGTTCTGAAAGCAAATCCAAGCTCCTGTTCATAATTCACGAGGTCATTTCTTCACAGAATTCAGAAATGCTAAGGAAAAAGAACAGAAAAACCTAGAGTCACTTAACTCCACATGATCAACTTACTCTCATGCCCTTGTGGGGAAATGCTTTTTCAAAAAAGTTTATTCAAGAGGTAAATGATGAGAAGCTGAATCATGTGATGTTTTCAGGCACCAACTCCAGATACTTACAGAGGAAAATATAGAGAAGACCACTCAGACCCAGCCAGTGCTTATGCAGAGGAAGTGAGGAAGATTATTGAAGAAGCTCATAACAATGGAAGGAAGGTTGGCTTTTTCAAAACACATTAACACCTTTTATAAAATGGATTGAAACTGTAATTCACAGTAGAGAAGAGAAAGGATTAGATCTGAATTCCCTTTCTGTGCTTCTCTGGCTACATTTCCACTTGGTTCATGTTGAGGGGGGGAAAAAAGCATGATTACAGTCACACCTCTTACTGTCTACTAATACTTATTCTGGAAATGCAAACACCATCCTCATTGAAGAACTAGTAGCCTACTTCTGACCTCTTCATGGTATGCAGGGTCTGGTCCAGAGGGATTGGGAATGAGAGAATTAAGAAAGGTGATAAACCAGAGAAGACTCTTCTGAGATGAACATAGGGGTGAACATAGGGTGAAGGGACAGAGTGGCCCTGGAGTCTCAGGATCAATGTAGACTTCCCACAGGGCTCTTCCATGGACATAGTTCAAGCTTCCTTAAATTACACTGCCTGGGCTTGGTCCCACCTGGGTAAGCCAAGGCAGAAAAATGTCCTTCCAATATGGGCCTGAACTTCAGAAACAGAGTCCTCAAAGGCTTTTCTTTCTTTCTTTCTTTCTTTTTTTTTTTAGTCTTTATCCTACAAATTCAGCTTCATCTTCAATTCTCATCCAATTTGAGGGTTACTTATGTGGGTATTTGATGCAACTTGATAATACTTTGCCTTTAACCTGGCTTATGGCATAGAT